AAAAAAAAAAAAAAAAAAAAAAAAAAAAAAAAAAAAAAAAAAAAAAAAAAAAAAAACCATTAGGCGCACACGTTTAAAGATTAAACTGCAAAGTCCACGCGTGTAGCCATGGAATTCGCGACAATGGATTCACCGTAAGTACTCGTCGTGAGCTTTCGAAACGCGCGACTGTAATAATATGGAGTCTCTCTTTCTCTCTCTCTTTCCTTCTCCCCTTCCTTTTGCATCTAAGAATTTCAAACGATCGCCGATGATAAATCGAGTGTATGGATGTACAGTGTAGACGGGGGAAACACGGATTTTCCCGAAAAGTCCTATCGAGCGTCTCGATCGGAACGAACCGGGAATGTCCGTATATACGTGCATATAATGTATGCGTTCCAACGACAGCCCGGTGAGCCGTAATCTTCCAGGTTTTTTTTAAAGACCGACATTCCAGTGACCAAAAATCCATTAAAAATACCAAAAAGCAGTGGAGACGCCGCCGTAACTTTTTCGGAGCCGGTTACGGGAGAGACTCGGTGGGGCAGAAAGTCAAACTCGACGGTCGTCGTCGAAGCTTTTTTTTTACAAGAGATACGATAGAGACGGAGCGAGAGAATACACACGCGAAGGAGTGGGGGATCCAGAGCAAGGAGGGGAGGTACATGAGCCGGCTTTGATGCCTATACATGGATTGTTTCACGAAAAACTGCGACTTTTCGAGTCAATTAAATTTTTGACGTTCGGTGTTAAAAATTTGGTTTTTTATCTCATGCAAGGTTCAAAATAGCTAGAAACTTTTGGGCCCGGAGCTGTTGATATTTTTTAAAAAGCCACCTTAATTTTAAAGGAATTTTTTAAAAACTTTGAAAAATCGTGACGGTAAATGGTAATTTTTTTTAGTGGCGATAAATTGGTCACATGGACAAATAAAATCATTTATTGCGCGCAATTCAAATGTCGGCTTCACGACTAAAAGGCCCCATCTTTTTTCAAACATTTTTTTTTTTATCATTCCAAACTAAAAGAAAAGATGTTTGACACTTCGGACTTTCAAATAGTACGGAGTAAAAAAAAATTTTCAAATCAACGCGTATAGGTGCCATGAACCGTTAATGATAAAATCGGATAAAATTTTTAATTATTTCGCACTACGGTAACGACCCTATTTTTTTGGTATCTTACAACCACGCAAAACAAAATTTTTTTTCTACCAAAAAATACATTTAAGAATAATTTGCTGTCATCTTTTAGCAAAATATTGTTTTTTAAACATAGGCTTCACGAAATATCGCGGTTTTTGTAAAATCATCCATGTACATGTACGCGCTCCACCAGTCACGCTGGCTGGGATCAAGTACATGTAGGTATCATATATATATATATACGTATTATCGAGTAGTGGGGGATAACACTGCAAAAGTAGCAAGCCCGGAGAGTTCGGGGGGGGAGAAGAGGGGGAGCGGGAGGCTAGGGGAATAACCGCAACAAGTAGTCGTTTACAGTTATAGTCAGTCCGTATCGGGCGTTCGCACAGCTGAGACACGCGCGTCGTCGCCGTAGTCGTAGTATCGCTGGCGAACACGCAGCTTTCGGCTGGTTTTTTAAATTTATTTTTATTATTTAATCACGAGATCCGTCAATTCTTGTTGGTTCGTTTTTTCCCGTACGAATAAAACGCGCTGCCGATCAAAGAGACCGAGTCAAAGTGTAGTTTTCTTTTTTTTTTTTCTCTTTTCGTTCATCCGAAAAGTAACACCAGGACGAAAAGTTTTTCGCCCCGTGTTGGGGGTGTACTTGCATACACCAGAGTTCCAGGGGGACGAGCACAACGTTCAGTGTCACCGCTTGTGAAAATACACACATGCACGTTTCATGTACGCACGTGTATGTACGAATAAATACACATTCGCGCACAGGAATGCGGAGAGAAGATCCTACAAGAAGATAAAAAAGAGTGCGTTGAATTCTACTGTTTTCTCATATATATTCCTTGCTAACTATAATATCCCTTATGTTTTTTTTTTTTTTTTTTTTTTTTTTTTTTTTTAATTTTGGGGAATTAAAAAAAAAAAAAAAAAAAAAAAAGTAAAGAAAAGAAAAAAAAAGCATTTTCATGTAAAGATCTGTATACTCCGAACATAATTATCACTACGACAATAATCAAATGGCAGCTATTAAATCTTGGCACTGGTACAATTATCTTTCCCCCGATCAAACAAAAAAAAGAGCACGTGTCTCAAATTAATTGTCCACAAAAAAAAATTTTAACATGCGCCCCAAATAACGTCCATATTTAGCGAAATGCTATCTTATCTCGCGTTTGCTGATGCAAGCCAGCGAGTCAACAATTGGGCCACACATCTATATATACTCGAAAGTAACGCGGCGTTTCGCCGAAAAGTAAAACAATAATCTCGCGAGAGTGACATTTCATCGACTCCCCGATTCGAAGCGTCAAGCAACAAGCACGCGAGCAAACGACATATATATGCCACACACACATAAGTACCTCGAGACCTCCCAACGCCCGAGAGTGCAAAACTGGGACTGAACGGGAGAAAGAAAACAGATAGGGTAATCAAAGGCCCAAGCCGGATGTCGTACAGGTTATTTTCCCCGGTGCTCGCGAGAAAAGAAGCTTAATAGGGCCGAGAGAGCGAGGGATACAGTCCGGTTGTTGGTCGCGGGTCGTCTTCGTAGAGCAAGCCTATACGTTACATCAGCCGTTGGGTTGATGCTGGCACGAGGTACATATACAGCACACGCATGTGCGTACAAGAAATCCTGCAAATAGGTTATAGGTATAATACGCTGCATCAGAGTAGAGGAACCGGCAAAGTCACTCGGTGAATGTCGGGTGTCTCGCGCTAGTCCAAGTATGCTTACTTACACCGCAGACGAGTCGCGACTCTTTTCCTAGAGAGGGAGAGAGAGATAGATACCGCGAGACGCGCTGTGCGTCGCGGTGCACTTCCGCGCGGTCGACGCGAGCTGCTCCTCTCCCTTAATAGGTCGCCGATAAACTCTTTGTGCCAGTCTTTGTCGCCACGGTGATGCTGCTTCTGTTTGCCGGACGTGACGAGTCTAGAGTACTTATATTGCAACATGCACAGGAGATGCGCCTACGAGCAAAGTTTCGATCTCTAATCTCATCGTTTTGCACGAGATGTGTCACGTTCAAAGGGGATTGTACACTAGGTGATTCGCGAGTTTTCTTTCAAATCCATCGAACCTAACGAAATTTTCATTAAATATATAATGCAAACACAACAGGTGGAAGAAAAAAAAAAACCTCTCATAACTTTACGACATGCATACATTTTTAACGATTTTCAGCGTTGGTACAAGAAGTTTTTTAGCTAAAATAACTCCGTGATACGTTAGTTTGATTTTTTTTTCTTCTTTGTACTAATCTTAATTAGAATCGTATAAAATGTAAGTATTAAATACGTTTTATTTCAATAAGGTCATTAAAATTTCAAAATAAATCTGCGCGATGAAATTTCATACAACGCGTTCATTGCGCAAAACTAAAAAACTGGAGAGGAAAAAAAAAAACCGTACACGTACCAAACGTTTGACAAAATAATCACCAAACCACTCAGATCGAGAAGTTGGATCGGCAACTACGATTTCTCGTATTTTGAAAGTACGAGAAACGTCCATGTGTGATCGATTAACACCCGTTACAGTCGAGATTAGCCACTTTCGTGATGCAAATCAGTTCTTGAATAGAGACTTGTCTTTCCAATAGTTTTAGTATAATTAAGTCTCAAGCTTCACTTTCCAGAGACATTGGAAGATTTTACAAGACTTTTTAAAGTTTTTAAAAAACTTTCCAAGTACTTGGAGTCAGTTAAAGTCGAAGCCTTACTTGGATGATTTTATAGCCTTTCTAATAACTCATTACGACTTTATACACTTTTAAAGTCTTGTGATGACTTCAATGGATTTAAAAGTCAGTCAACAAGTTGAAATGACTTGAAAGTAATTGGTCGACTTCAAAAGCCTGTACAAAACCTTTTTATTATATAGCTCAAAATGACTTTCAATAACAATACAGTTTTTTATTATTATTTTTGCGAGTGGACAGCTTCTCGCAAATTAGTGTCCTGCGTGTATAATGCTTCAAAGCTTATCCTAAACCTGTACCTCGTTAGTCCACCACTGATGTTTATCAATACCGCTAACAAGACAAGAAATGCCCACAGTATAGGCGTTCTTAAAAAAATTAATTGACTTGAGAATAACAAGCGACCATTTGAAATGACAGGATACAAAGAAAAACAAAAATAGAGCTGTGTAAGGGGTAGCGAAATCACATTCTCATACGATAAACACTAGCTGTTACTTAGTTAAAAAGCCAACACTTACTTTCAACTTTTAGCATAAACAATTGACCAACTAAATCATTGACACATCGGTTCCAGGGGTTCGTTTCCAGCGTCCCTCTAGGTCAATAGCTGCTGGTNCACCTCCACCTCGAGCAGTAAAACCACTCGACGAGCAGCGCAAAATCGCCGAGGCGAAAGGCGGAAAAGCCATCATCTTATATATATATATATATATATATATATATATATATACGTGTACACAGATTGTACATTCGCAACCGCTCGATGCCGCGGTGCTTCGCTCTGACGAGCCAGCCACTATACACACTTTATTATATTCTATATTCCACCTATACATGTATGCATCTGTACATATAAGTATTATGTGTATACGATTGTATGTGTCGCGCGCGTATACCTCGATCTTTCCTTGATGATGCGATTTCACGCGGCGCGACCTAAGGTTCGCACCGTTCGCGCGAAAGGATATACAATACCCCTCGCCGCCTACGCGCCACACGCCGAGCGTCGCTTCATTCACGAAATATTTGCGAGCCTCCTCCTTCTGTGCATGCGTTGCACCTATATATATATTTATATTGCGCGCGTCTCTCTGGTGGCTCCGTTTTCTGGCTCTCCAATCATCTCCGTATACCGATGCGCCTCGATTACTGAATGGACACCTTAGTTAGGATCATAAAGAGAGGCATTTTCTTTTTTCTGCCGAGTCTGAGAGAACGATGTTACCTCGGAGCAAGAGTATTGGCCCTTTCTTTCCTTTCCCCTGCAGTTCATTGAAAAAACAACAGTGTTTGCCTAAATAAACTGCCCAGATAGCAATTGAAACATACCGAAAGTACTGATTTCCATGGGTGCGCTAAATAATTGTGTATCAAATTGACGCGTAACATCGAGGGCTGGTTATTTCATGGTGGCGATTGCGCTCGCTTCGTTGAAATAAAAATTATTCTAGTATATTTCTATTACTGTGTACCAATCCTACATGCGTATACCTACCTACTCAAGCCATGGCAGATATTAAAAAAAATAAAAATAAAAAAAAACCTTAATATCCTGGATGAAAATGTTTTATTTTTACTTTAAAGAAGAGTAACTTCTGCACATCCGTAAAATTAAATCAACTTTTTCTTTCTTTTGGTGTTCCAGATTTCTCCGGCGATTGGGCGATGCGACGTGATTCGCAGGCTTGATAGGCTCGACTTTGGAAACGCGACGAGGAAAAATAAGGAATCAGTCCACGAACGGGTAAAAGTGTCATAGTTCGACGTTGAAAAAAAAAAAAAAAAAAAAAAAAAAAAAAAAAAAAAAAAAAAAAAAAAAAAAAGATATAACGGCAGTAGCCAATTAGTATACCTACGTGCGCAGCAAAAGGTGTTTGTCCGAGTTAAAATCGATCCCTTCGAGTGTAATAGTTGGTCAAATCCAACCAAACAGCGAATAAAAGGACACAACGAAGAAAAACAAATAATTGGATGGGCGTTCTCCTGAGATAAGTCGAGGACTCTCGGGAGACACACAGCCAGAGCTGTATACGTACATAATCGACCGAGGCTTCTAGCCAGGGGTAAGTAAACCCAATGTTCATTTTATAACACACATCATTGCCTCCCAACGCAAAAGCTTTTTTGTTTTGATTAGACGATAGACGAGTGGGCCTCCCATGTTTTTTATCGCTGAAAAAGGATTTTTTTAATGTGTTTGACAGAACATCTGCATGGATTTCTTTGGTACAAATAAAATATTAAAGCAATTTTTCTATTTGTATTGTGGTAAGAAATTTTCTTTGATAACGAGACTTTGGGTGGAAATTTCGTAGTCGTAAATACAAAAATGACTTGGAAATCGTGTGAACCGTGAAAACCAACCAAAAAGTTCACTGACAAGACGCTTTGGTAAATATGAAAATAAGCAAAGATAACGTCCGAGGGATTCGTGGGTTTTTCCCTACTCGCTTATTTTATATATATATATAATGTGGTACAACGTCGACGTCACGCATAAGCTACTTCCTATTTCCCTGCTGTCAAAATAGCTTCATTACATCTAACGTTATCTAAGAAAGCAAATCAAACACAAGTTGGTCTGGTGGGAAAAAAACAGTGTATGATGACGTTTGAGAAATTTAAAACATCAAGAAATATTTCGTGATATCGTACTTTTCCATCTCGGCTCACATCTGTACTAGTAACAGAAAAATTAAACTCTAAATACAAGTGGGACAATATTTGATCCATTACTATTTATGAAGGATGAATTTAAATTATTTTGATTTTTCGATCTGAGAGAGAAAGCTATGCACTTATTGGTTGAAAATTTCAATGTCTTTGAAAGATTATTAAAAATATGCTAAATAATGAAAAATAATAAATAGAATTAGTTTTTCAATTGAAAAAATACATAACTCAATAAATCGAATTCAAATTTTGTTTCGGGCATTATTTTTTGCTTGATCATAGTTTATTTTAAATATTACAAATGCCACGTATTCTCATTGATGTTTTGTATACTTTTCTTATCTCTTCTGAAAATAGCTGCCATTAACAGAAGTAACATTTTTCTTTCAAATTTCAAAGAAAAAGATAAATCACGGGGAAACAATGAAACTCCTGTTAATTGTAGCTGTTTACGAAAGAGGTAATATAAATACCTAAAAATCAGGAACCAGAGTTACAGGTAATTAATTTATATCGATTGGCCACCGATTTTTTTTCCCCCCCTGTATATTATATACTTACACAAGGACGCGCACATTGTACATATATGTATAAATCCTTCTTCTCATGAAAATAAATAGGCTGCGACACGTGAATGGATGTGACGTATACCTATACATTTTTACACAACGAGTCAGTAATTCGTTCGCTTTTCGGTGACACAGTGGGTTCATATCCACCTGTCGAACGAAAACGCCTACCGCGAGTAGTAAGTNAAAAAAGTTCACGGTCTGCTAAAGAACACTAGACCTGATCAGCTAGTGGCAATCGTCTTCGGCTGCATTCAATCATATTTTAAAAAAATGTTTGTTTTATCATTTTTCAGTATATAACTAATTTTTCGTATGAAAAAATTAAAAAAATAAATAAATAAACCTTTCACACATAATATAGTATATTTGAGTAGAAATTTATTTTTATTAACTTATTTTAATAGCTGTATTTACGATGAATTAAAAAATATTTATTGGAACCGCATACGTCTTATGGATGAAGCAAAAGCTGTAGGAATTTTTGTACGATTCGATTGGCGCTGATTTCGGACGAATAACGCGTAACAATTTGGTACATCGTTAAAGGGATTAATTAACCGAGTTTGCGTATAGCTAGTAATACAACTTCACGTACGTTTGTACAATGCAAATTTATCATCATTTGTGATTTACGATGCAATTCTAAGAATTAAAAAGGAAAAGAGTCATAATCAGGCGAATTCCGACCAACTTATCATTCTGATGATCAGATCAAACAATGGATTATCTTTGAAAAAATGACACAAACAACAGTCAACACAAAAATCAACGAATAAAGTGACTAATGCTCTATATAGGTCTCTAGTATCGCACGTCATGCACAATGTACTGTAGCGCGTATGCTCACCCGCGTAGATGCACTTATATACATATATACACAAACCGATGTATCGTACAAGTAAATGGCACGATACGCGTGGTGGTACGCGAAAAGTCAGCAGTAGTTTAGCTAAGAGAATACAAAATAAATCTCAGCGTGGGTATACGTATATATTATGTTGTGTTATGCGGACTCGGCGTTATTTTATGATTTTTGTGCGGTGAATTAGCACCGCGACGAGGATGCGAATTATTATAAATTCGATTTGTAAAATCATACAAATTAATTTCATCACATGGGTTTGCTGTAAATGAACTATGGATTGACCCCGTCTCGTACGTTCGTTGTGTCTGCATAAACGAACGTCATCTATAGGTTAAAAAATTCTTTTCTTTACAAAGTGAATGAAACTTTGATGAATACAGCAACATTCGTTGATCCTAACACTGCACCTGACACAAGTCAACAACAAAGTAATCTCTGATCGTTACGTCTTTCTTCTTCCTCTCCTCCTCGTCTTCGTGACACACTACATAAACAGACGTACTTGGTTCTCCGTCCGGCGTATTCTAGCCGCAATTAATATACATCTCTCATTCGCTATACGTCACTTCTCTCCCTCTCTCTCTCTTGCTCTCTTTCAATAAAAGGTTACGGCAATCGGCGTCACTTAGAGCATACACGAGTATCAAGGAAATTGCGCTGAACTATGTTATACGTGAACGTAATTTTCATACATATAGTGTCACTTGGGTGTGTTTGTGTAGGTGACTCTTATCAATAACCGGAGCGAAGCCACATGTGTTTTAAGCCTCCGGAGTCCGGAGGAAGAGCTTTCTTATGGACAACACACTTTTTTTCTTTCTTTTTCTTTTCTGTTTTTCTTTTTCTTTTTTTTTTTTTTTTTTTTTTTGGG